ACCTGCCGGTCCCTAAATAAATAATTCTTTTATAAAAAAAGAAGGTACCAAACAATAAAAATGACTGCCTGGATATAAGATTGTATGTTTTAAAAACCACATATTTCTAACTTCTTTTTTTCATCTTTCAGATTTTTAGGGAGCTGGCAGGTGCTACGGTGGTTTAAGGCACTGGACTCCCACATGGTTGACTGCAGTTTGAGTCCTGGACCTGACAGCTTGATTTCTCACTTTCCCTCCCTCCCCCACCCCCGTCTGTCCCTCTCTGGTCAAATTAAAATAAATAAATAAAATAAGTCTTTGAAAAAAATTTTTTTTGCAATAGGAGTATTTAACTTTTTTAAAGATACATATATATGTATTTTTTTCTTTTTAAATTAATAATGCCTATTTAGGGAAAGCAGGTGGTGTGGTGATTAAGGTGCTGGATTCCACATTGCCAACTTTGTGGTTCAAGTCCTGGACCTGGTGGCTGGAAAAACACACTGGGCGTGTGTGCATGCATGCCCTATATTCTGAGAGGAGGATAGAGGAGAAGGGATTGTGGAGTGGCCATCCCCCAGAGGGAGTGATTTCTCATTTTCCTTCTCTCTGGCAAGTGCATGCCCCTAATAGCAAAAAACTTTAAAAAAAAATAAATAAACCTCTAAATAATTCAATAAGGTAAGCAAAAAGTACATTTTAAATTTAAAAGTAACATACTACCATTAGTGAAACTGTAAGATCTGCTGTCTACTTTCACTATGGGTTTTGCATAAAACCTTTGTATAAAATTAACAAAAAACCAGGTAACGGAAAAATCAAAATTCTACAATATGTTTGAAAATAATCCAGTTTGAAGATATGCACTTAACATCTAAGTTAAAATAGCATTTCTTTTCCTCTAAATACTTAGTTTTATTTCACAATTTTTTAAGAAAGAATACCCTCATTTCTTGAATATAACCTAACAATTACCCTACATATAAGTGATGAATTACAGTTGTCATATTTCTTTTAGCTTCAAAAGTGACAAGTTTATGTTTATTTCATTTCTAAAATTATCAACTTATTTCTTTTTAGAGAAATTTTTTGCTATAGGGTGTGTGTGTACTCACTGGAGAGACAGAAAGTGAGAAATCACCCCCCCACCCCCCCGGGGGAATGGCCACACTACAATACCTTCTCTTCATTCTCCTCTCAGGATTTGGGCACGCATGCACACGTGCCCAGCGTGAGTTTTAAGCCTCCATGTCCAGGACTCAAACAGTGGTCAACTACATGAAAATCCAGTGACATAACCACTACACCATCTGCTGGTCCCAAAAATTATTAACTTATTAGGAGGATCATTGCCAAATAAGAACTTACCTGCACATAGAAAGTTCGTGATGTTGTTACAATTTCAAAAAGGTTGTCCCTCATCATTATGTCACTGTTATAGAAAAAAATTATTCAATTATACTTAAATAGCAATTCTTTGATAATTTCTCTTTCACTTGTTTACTCGGTACTTAACATATGTCAATGAATAAATATTACAGATAAACACTGATTTAATAAACCAAATTTTATCATCTTTTTTCATGGGTTTGCTCAAAGAAACAATGGGATAGCTAACATTTCCTTTTTTTTTTTTTTTTGGAGAGGTTTTTCAGTATAGGGCGCGTGCACTCGCCAGAGAGAGACATAGAGACAGAAAGAGAGAAATCATCCCCCAGAGGGGATGGTCACGCCACAATCCCTTCTCCTCCATTCTCCTCTCGGGATCTTGGGCACGCACGCACACGCGCCCGGCATGAGTTTTAAGCCACCGGGTCCGGGACGTGAACCGCGGTCGACTATGTGGGAGTCCAGCGACATAGCCATTACGCTAACTGCTAGTTCCTGCTAATATTTCCTTTTAATGCACTATCATACAGCACCTTTCAAATACTAAAATAACAATACCTCAATTTGTCAACTGATGGTATACGTTTTCATATTGAAGTTTTCTCTTTCCATTAATAAGCTATTTCTAAATTTTTAGTTTTCAAGTAAAACATATTCCAATACTATAATCTGAGGGTTTTGAAAATTCTAGCACATCCTAACTATAAAGAGTTAAAAATGATACTAGAACTAATACAGAGAAATATTTTCTACAAGCACATTAATCAAACAAATAAAGCAAAAAAAACAAAACAAAACAAAAAAAAACAAATAAAGCACTATTCTGTATTGTTACATTACGCCAAGCAGCAAGTCAGAGCTGTTCCTTACCTCTGCTTACATTCCTGGACTTTATGAACCTCTTTAAGTGGTATTACACGAAGAGGTTCCTTTTCCTGGCAAAAATGAAAACAGATACGATATTTAGTCTTAAAATCTTTTCAAGGATTAGTTGTCTTATTTGGAGATACTTGTGAAAATTATGTTTCTTTCTTGAAGCACGTCTAAGACAAAAAAATCTACCTTTTTAAACCACTTAGCATCAGAATAGCTAAAATACTATAATGTTATATACAATGTTGTTTGAAATAAGAAAAATGTATATCGCCCTTGAACACATTATTTATGGCCCTGTTAAAAAACCATTAGCCAGCAAACTGTCCCTGGCCAGCGCCTGTGGACAGGAAGTGCAGTACTTTTACTTTTGGAAAGCCACTCTGATATACAAGGCACCAGAGCAGAGAACATCCTGCTTCTTGAATTTAAATTTGTCATTTTACTAATATAACTTTATAGGAACACTTTTTTAAAAAAAGATTTGTTTATTTAATTTTATTTATTTATTCATTCATTCACTCATTTTAATATGAGAGAGAATGAGAATGCCAGCCACCAGGTCCAGGACTCGAACCATGGTCAGCCATGTGGGAGTCCAATACCTTAACCAGCACACCACGTGCCAGACCCTGAACACATTATTTTAACAAGCATCATTTATTGAACATTTGCTAAATCCTGGAATCCTGGGACATCTGATGGGTTTGGGGCTTTTTTTTAATTTTTTTTTTTAAGTATATAAGGAAGCATTCATTACATTTTTTGAAATTGTCATTTCTGATATACATAATATCACTGTTCATCTTTGAGGAGGTACAGTATGGTTTTGTAAAGCATGCATACAGTGTGTAATAATCAAGTCATGGATACAGACATTCGTCTTCTTCTACATTAAATATTTTATTGTGCATATTCAGTAACAGTTCTACAGAGTTTGAGGAAGTATATGTTGAACTGTCAGCTGGGGCCAGCAGATGGCGCAGCGGAATTGTCAGTGACATTTTTATACTACTGTGGTACACTATTCCATAACATTTTCTACTATTAATAATTTAGATGCATTCTTGTGTTTGTTACTCATTTTCTCCTGGGTCCCTCCACTTTGTGTCAAATGACAAGATATTGTTCTCTATGGCTTTAAATGTGTCATCTCACACATTCCACAACCCTACAATACATGTACTTTTTAAACTGTCATGTGCTCTCACTGGAAAGAGAAAGTATCCACTAATTGGCACGGTCATGCTGCGATCCCTCTTCCTCCAGTCCTCCTTCCCATTAGGACTGTACACACACAACTGAGCTACATGTTTTTCAGGCTACCAGGGCCAGTATTCATTCAAACCATGGGTCAGCCAAGTGGCTCCCTTACCACTGTGCTATGAGGCCAGCCCTACATGTACTATTATAACTCAAGGAAATTGAGGATTAACATGTTAAATATCTCACCCAAGGTTGTGAAACTAGACGTAATACACACATAGAAGATATAACTGGTTCCAATTAGCATGATATTTATATGATACATTCCATGAAATATTCCTTATGTATTTTATTAAATATAAAATTAAAACATACCATTATTTTACATAGCAACAAGAAAAACTATGACAGAACACATTTTAAAGTAAAATCTTTTTTTCAGTTGTTTTTTTGTTTTCTGGGGTTGTTTTTTTTTTTTGCTATAGGGTGCATGTGCCAGCCAGAGAGAAAGAGAAATCACTACCCAGGAGGGATGCTACTAAGTACTTCAGTGTATTTTCTCAAACACAGATAGACTCTCGTATAACTACAGTACAATTACGAAAACCAGAGATGGAACACCGATGCAATACTATTTATCTAATCAACAGACCACACTGAGATTTTGTTACTGCCCCACCAGTTTTCCTTACAGCCAAGGAAGAAGCATTTTCTTAACCAGGATACAATCAGGGATGGTACCTTATAGCGTTGTATGTCTTAGTCTCCTTTACTGTGGAATAGTTCTTTCTCTTTCATGTCTTTAGAGTTTTAAAAGACCCAGGCCAGTTATTCTGTAGAATGCCTCTCAATTTAGGTTTGTCTAGTGTTTGTTCATGCTGAGATCCAAGCTATGTTTCTGACAGGAAACCACAGATGTGACACTGTGTTCTTCTCAGTGTGTCATATCTAAAGGCACATGATGGGTTTGTCCCATTACTGGAGTGGCAACTTTGATGTCTTACTTAAGGTCATGATCACCACATCTGAATAACTATTCTTTTCTTTTCCCCATGTCATTATTTTATGTATTTACTTTTTTTAAAGATATTTTTTTGCTATACGGTACATGCACTCCCCAGAGACAGAAAGCAAGAGATCACCCCTCAGTGGAGATGGCCACACCAAAATCCCTTTTCTTCAATTCTCTCGGGATTTGGGGCATGGATATACACACACCCAACATGCATTTTTTTTTTTTTTGGAGAGGTTTTTGCTATAGGGCGCGTGCGCTTGCCAGACAGACAAGAGAGAGATAGAGACAGAAAGCGAGAAATCACCCTCCAGGGGGGATGGCCACGCCGCAATCCCTTCTCCATTCTCCTATCGGGATCTTGGGCATGCACGCACACGCGCCCAGTGTGAGTTTAAGCCACTGGGTCCAAGGCTCGAACCGTGGTCGACTACGTGGGAGTCCACCTACATAGCTATTATGCTAACTGCTCGTCCCTCCAACATGCACTTTAAGCCACTGGGTCGGGACTCAAATCGCAGTCAACTAAGTGGGAGCCCAGTGACATAACCATTACACCATCTGCTGGTCCCTCCGTGTCATTATTATCTTGTGGGGAGATATTTGGAGCTTATGTAATTATTCGGTTTTCTGTGATAATTTTGTCCACTAGTTCTATCAAACATTGGAGACTCCTGCCATTACTGGTATAGTGGCTGCCAGAGGGCAACTTTTCTAACTCCATCCATCTACTTACAGATACTAAGCTACACTTTCACTGTAAGGAAATGCTCTTATTTTTTCATGACCTGTTCAATATATATGGGTTACACTCCATTACTATTATTATTTATTGTGTTACTCAAATTGTGCAAGTTTTGGCCACTGGGAGACTTTTCCAGTTGGCTTCTGTGTCCTTTTGACAAGTCCTCCACTGATCTGTGGGCACTTCCTTGTTTTCTGGCACTACCAATGTTCTGGGTTCAGCTTGTACTTTACTTGTTTCATCTCTGAAATCAGTCATTTCTCCAACGGGTCTCAGTTCATTCTGTTTATAAAGCTGATTTGGGGAGACAATTTTTGTTGATCTCTTCACTCAGCCACAGCAATGTCACGACAGATGAAAATATTTCAGTGCAGTTTTAAACTGTATTTCTCTAATTACAGGTGACACTGAGTATCTTTTTGTATTTTTAAGGTCCATTTTAGTTTCTTTCTAAATGAACTATTTTTGCCCTTTGCCTATTTTCCTATCAGATATTTCTCCTTCAATTTTTTCTCTTTGTTTAAGCTTTGAAATAATCATGAATTCAAATAATAAATTTACATAAAGGCTGAAAATATAACACAAAGAACTGATTTTCCTGAATTATTTCAGAGTGAGCTTTTAAACTGGTCCACACTATCCCTGAATACTTCAGTGTGCATTTTCTACAAAGAGACTCTCTCTCTGACATAATTACAATACAGCCATCAAAATCAGGAAACTGTTCGCAAAATGTCTTTATTAGAATAAAAAAATTCAGTTTGGAATCACAGATTACAACTGTTTTTCCTATCTCTTTTCTTTCCTTTAGCCTGGAACAATCCCTCATTCTTTCCTTGACTTTCATAATCTTGATTCTCTGAAGATTACAAAGCAGTTATTTCACAGACTGTCCCTCATGTGGGTGTGTCAACTTTAATTTTTCAGTCGGAATTGTATATGCTGAATCAATGGAAATGTCTATGGTGCTGGCTATCGTTTCTGCTCTCAACTGTCAATCCTCTTCAATTACAGCATGAACAAGATTTTTTCCTACAAACTGATGTGGCTGCAAGTGTCATCTTCAACATTCTTTAGTCTCTTTTTAAAACAAGTTATCCAGGGACCAGCAGATGGCATAAATGATTACGCTGCTGGACTTGCACAGAGTTGACTGTGGTTAAAGTCCCAAACCCAGCGGCTTAAAAACCAATGCCAGGTGCCTGTGTGTGTGCACCCAAAATCCTGAAAGAAGCCTGGAGAAGGGATTGGAGTGTGGCCATCCACCTGGGAGGTGATTTTTCGCTTTCTGTCTCTCTGTCCCTCCAGTGAGTGTACATACCCTTAGAGGAAAAAATCTCTCCCCCAAATAAAAATAGTTATTATCCACATATAAACTGTTGATTTCTTTCAGGCATTGTCTCCATAAACTTTTCATAAAGAACCAGTGATTTCACCATTCTAAGAACACCCAAGCTTCAGCAAAAATTTGATGTTTGCTCTTGCTTCAATCTGGACAGAATTCATGTTGTCCTGATACAGGTTCTTTTAAAACTGATGTCTTACCCTTAATGCTTCAAACTAGATCTTGGTCAGATACGTTATAACAAGACCACATGAGATGATTTTGGTGCAAAAATATTTTGAAATCCATGCATAGTTTTTTATAATATACATTTTTCATGAACTTTTTAAAGAACCCACGTTTATTAATATTAATAGAAATGTATAAATACATGAATACTTTGTGTTTATTTACGTCAATATATCCAATTCCAACCTAATATCAGAATTTTCCCTCTTCTATGTTTATTACTGCCTTTTTTAAAAACTTAATTTATTAATTTCTTCCACAAAATAAAGAGAGAGAGAAAAAATAGACACCCTCAACAGGGTTCTCACACCATGACCCACTCCCAGCATCAGCTAGTCCAGATTACATGTGAGCACACAGCTGGCCTGCAGAGGGCGGCCCTGGGACTCAAACCCAAGACCTTCTCATTCACAGTTACCACTGTGCTATTGTCTGGTGCCTTCTTTGACCAAGAACTATATTATCCTTACTACATTTCCTTATTTTATCAATAAGTTATACATAACCACTCTTTACCCCGTGCCACCACGCTATTCCCTATGTGGATGCCTTCCTCTCCCCTCGCCTTGCTGGGCTACTCCCCAAGAGGACGGCTTCCTCATCCTCAGTGGGCTGTGACTACTCACACCATGCTATGATGGTTCCTACAACAAGCGGAGGAAAAGGGACTGGTGTGGCCATCCCACTGAGGTGGGGGTGATTTCTCACATTCCTTCTCTCTCTTTCCTGCGAGCACATGCACCCTAGAGCAAAGAAAAATTGGGGGGGGGGTCACATCTGGGGACCTTCCTGAGGATGCCAGACACGCATGTGCCCAGAAGCCAGGGGTGGCTAAGGCCGGGGATAGATGGCAGCATTAGGACCCTGTTGGGTGTGTTGTCTCGCTCAAACTTGAACACACAAACTTCGCATTCACATTCCAGCTCCTCTGAGTCACTTTTTGATTTGAAGCCATCACTGCCCATGTTTTTATGCCAGTAAGTGTATGTGATGCAGCATTTCTTAAGAATATTCCATTGTGTCTCTGAGATGTTCTTCCATACTGCCAATGTCCTTTTCCTCAGTTTGGATGCTGGTGTTTTCTGGAGCTTACCGCAGGTGCTGTGCACACGGCAAGCAGTAACTAGAGCACACTTGCTGCATGACTGTCCCTTGCTTTCAGCAAATCTAAGACACACACCCCCACTAAGATTTCAGAAATGTTAAAATGAGGGTGAGAGGAACTATGTACTGTGTAGTATTATAAAGGTCAACAACTATAAATGTATTTAAAGTGTTGGCTGCATCTCAACTCCCCCAGCAAAACTGAACTCATGAAGGCCAGGAACTATCACTAGTTATCTCTTTACCTCCAGTCCCAGAACAGTGCACCAGGGTCATGGAGAGCTCAATGAATGTCTGCTGACAAATGACTCTCCTTACAAGTATTGGTATTAACTAAAATCAATGAGTCAACAAGTTAACCAACCACAAGTGTAATCTTCTAAGACACCAGAGTTGATAGTTTTTATTTTTATTTTTATTATTATTTTTTGCTACAGGGCATGTGCGCTTGCCAGACAGACAGAGAGAGACAGAGAGACAGAAAGTGAAAAATCACCCCCCAGGGGGGATGGCCACGCTGCAATCCCTTCTCCTCCATTCTCCTCTCGGGATCTTGGGCACGCATGCACACGTGCCCGGCGTGAGTTCAAGCCACCGGGTCTGGGACCCGAACCGCAGTCGACTACGTGGGAGTCCAGCAACATAGCCATTACGCTAACTGCTGGTCCCAAGAGTTGATAGTTTTTAAACCCAGTAAGTACTACTTCTAGTTGAGGCTATGAAACACTGAAATCTGAAAGGGCCCCTCCCCCCCCAAGCTTAAATGGCTATTCTTGCTATGCTATGCCATTTTTCATTCACTTAAAAACACTTGTTATCTACCAGGTGCCAGGAACTGTGCTCATAAAAGGGTAAAGTAGAGCGGCCAGCAGGTAGTGTGGTGATTAAGGCGCTGGACAGTCCCACAGGGCTGACCACGGTTCAAGTCCCGGACCTAGAGGCTTGCTTTCTCACTTTCCCTCTCTCTCTTTTCTATGTTTCTCTCTGGTCAAATTAAATGAATGAATAAATAAACTTAAAATCCATAATTCTTTTTTTAAAATAGGGTAAAATAAAGTCTTTATACTCAAGAAGCTTATTTAGTTTAGTGGCAAACGCAAGCATGCATGATTACAGAACACAGTGGGAAGTAGCATGATGGAACTATGCGCCAAGTACCATGGGACGTAAAGAGAAGACACTTAACTCAAAATCTGAACGCTTCCCAGAAAAGCTGACACCTGAGGTGAGTCTCAAAACATCCCTTTCCCATTCTCTGGTATTCCACTGTCCTATACAGTAGTTACTACTTAAAACTCTGTCAATTTAAGTTAATGAAAGTAAAATAAGTATTTTTTTTAATTAAATAAAGCCAGTTCCTCAATGAGACTAGCCATTTTCCCAGCATTCAAAGCCACTCGAAACCAGCATGAAGTCAGTGGTACTGAACACCACAAATAGGGAACCTTTACACCTGTGCACACTGGACTATTCTGGTGCCTTTTCTCAAATAAAATATATAGTCTCCCTTTCAAAGGTTCCAGAAAATAACAAGCAGAACAGATGTTTAAGGTACAGAAATGCATTCAAGTTAACCATAATCTATTGAAGGATTCAAGACACATGGCAATAATATTTTAAAATAATGATGCTACTCAAACAAATGAAAGAGTAAATTCGACCGATAGCGGGAGCAGAGAGCAGACCCCTGAGAGCCCTGAGCAGCCCCACTGCTGCCATCAGCCTAGTTACTATCACACCCTGGGAGAAGACGCAGCTGCTGCAGCCAGCCCCAGTCACCACCACTGTAACCATGGGCAGGACAGGCCCAACAATGCTGGCCCTACAGGAGGCTCCCCACATACTACGTACGGAGACCCTATGGGCGTGGACCACAGTATTCCCACCCTCCTGTGCAGGGAGAAGTGATGGAGGTTGCTGACAACCAGAGTGCAGGAGAACAGGGCAGACCAGGGAGGCAGAATATGTATCAGGGTTATAGATGACGATTCACAGGGGCCCTCCTCACCAGACAGCCCAGAGAGGACGACAACGAAGAGGGTAATGAAAATCAAGGAGATGAGACCCGAGGTCAGCAGCCACCTCAACGGCGGTACTGATGCAACTTCAATTACTAATGCAGACGCCCAAAGAACCCTAAACCACAAGATGGCAAAGGGACAAAAGCAACCGATCCACCAGCTGACAATCTGTCCATTCCTGACGCTGAGCAGGGAGGGGCTGAGAAAATGCTGGCTTATCATCTCTATCATCATCCGATTTAGTCATCCAACAAGTGAATATGAAATTCCAGCAATAAGAAATGAACAAAAGATTGGGGCTGATAGACCTTAAGTGCTTGCTTTTTGCCCGCTGACGAGATAACTAGAACTACCTGCATTATCTATGCAGTATGGGATTTTTATTATTTTTAACCTAAAGATGTCTCTCTTTTTTTTTCTTCCTAACCAACTGAGCTTTATTTGTTGTATAAACCAAACCACCTAACATCTTTCAGGTGAAAAAATACTAAATTTGAATAAAGATATTACAAAATGAATTAGAGCCCAATAAAAATTAGCTTTAGGGATGGAACATAATTCTACTCAATTAATGCAAATATGTCTATAGACCACAGATTAGTTTATTTTTAACACCCATAATGCCATGAATTCATAGGGAATAGGTTCCAGTAGCTCAGGCTCCTTTCCATTGGTTCTCACAAAGTGTGCTTCTCTGGGTGGAGCAGCTGGCGCTTTAGTTGAACCCAGGTACCTTTCTCTTTGGCTATTTTCTTTTTCTGGTCATTTTCCTTCACACGTTTTAGGAAGCTATCTCTGCTCTTAGAACAAGATGTCTCTTTTTGGCAATGACAAATGTGTTTTTTTAAAAACCCTGGTTTTTCTCAATACACCTTTAAAAGTTTTTAAATTGTTTCATATCTGGTCAAATTGAGATTTTTAAGAACTTCATTTTTAATTTGTAATAAAAGTTGACAATTTGATTTTTTTCCAAAAAAGTCAACGAACTTCAAGCACCTGTTAATAAAGGTCTTACATAATTGTCAAAAAAAATGAAAGAGGGAATTCTGATCTTTGACTCTATTTTCAGATAGGACAAAAACATTTTATGTAAAGCAACTTAAGGGTCAATCTGTGGGACAGCAAGCGGCATGGTGGTGAAGGCGCTGGACTCCCACATGGCTGATAACATTTCGAATACTGGACCTCGCAGCTCCCTTACTCACTTTCTTGTTCTCCCTCTCTCTGTCGAGTATATGTATCCTATAGCACATTAAAAAATAATAATGAGGGACCAGCAGTTAGCGTAATGGCTATGTCGCTGGACTCCCACATAGTCGACCACGGTTCGAGTCCCGGACCCAGTGGCTTAAACTCACACCGGGTACATGTGCATGCATGCTCAAGATCCCAAGAGGAGAATGGAGAAGGGATTGCGGCATGGCCATCCCCCCTGGGGGCTGATTTCTCGCTTTCTGTCTGTCTCTGTCTGTCTGGCGAGTGCACATGCCCTATAGCAAAAAAAAAAAAAAAAAAAAACTCTCAAAAAAAAAAAGAAATAATAATGAACAAAATTTAATAATTTTTTAGAAGAGTCAATCTGAAATAAGAAAATGTCAAGAGGAGACAGAAATAAGAAGGGACTTCAAAATGGAATCAAACTAAGAATTCATTTTTGTGTAAAAAGTCTGAAATCCATACATAGTTTGTCTTTATAATATGCTTTCTTTCCCAAGAGCTTTCTGAAGTCCCCTGATAGAGAAGGTTAAATGTTGTCCTTCAGAGACTTAATTCTTCATACCAGCTCCTCCAAATGCCACTTTAAAGAAAAGCATAAATTAGGATGGGGGCAGTTCTAATATTTTTAGATCTTTCAATGTGTAACGCCTATTTGAAGATATTATCTTTACTCACTATTTAAAATTTCCAGAGAGTATGTGCAGTCACCAGAGACAGAGAGAGAGAAAAGAGAGAGGAAGAAAGCATCAGCCAATGGGGTGTGGCCACGCCACAGTCCCTTCTCCTCCTTTTATCCATCCTGTCAGAATCCAGGACACACATAGCACCCAGCGTGTTTTTAAAGACGCCAGGGTCAGAATTACAACCATAGTCAGCCACCTGGGCTCTGTTTCCTTAATCATTAATCTTCAGGGCCAGCACAATATTCTCTTTTTGTTTAAGATATGTTTAACAAAAATACCATTAACCAAAAAGTCACACAAACAACAACAACAAAAAAAAACAGAAAAAAACAAAAAAACTGAACTGTGGGTACCTCTCAAAAAAGTATCCAAAAAAATAAAGAGTCAAAATATATACATAAGCACTACAATGTAATACTTAAAACATTTTGCACCAACATTTATGACACAATAACATACCAGTTCAGATTTGAAGTAGCCTATTGAGTTTTCATCCAACTGAAAATATCTTCTCTTCCAGTTTTTCATCTATCAGAGTTAAACACAGACATCAGACTTGTTTCTAAGAATGTCAAATGTTCACCACTTAATTATTCTGAATATGAACTCACAATCAGAAATGCCATGAACTGAAGGACCTCACAACTCCCTCCCCACAATCAACCCCCACCCATGTCCTAATCTCCTGTGAGAAGATAAGTAAAACCCCTTTCTTTTGCTACCCAGGTCTTGAACTCCCAATTCAAGGAGTGGCCTGAATTTCAGCTTTTATTATATGATTTTATGACATGATTTCATATTTCAATGCTCTAAAAGTTTTTTTGTTTTAAGCACTTCCCCTTCTCCCCCTCCCGTACAAAGTAAAGAGCAAGCACAGGAAATGTTATTAAACCACATCAAGTTTCTCTATCTGCAATAGGCATGAATTCTTCTGAGTGCTTCATACATACAGTAAAGCAACAAACACTGTAAACCTGTTTTGTACAAATATTTTTCGCCAATGAAGTACAGTTTTTGTGAAAACACTGAAATATCTTTAAGGGATTGGTATCTTGGATCTGAGTAAACAGAAAAACAAGGACTAGTATCTCAAAAGCCCTAATTGCACACAACTGAGTATCACAGCTTGATGAGGATTCTGACACACCTACGTTCTATGGTGAGAAACCTTCAGCCCTTACTTTCATTTCCCTTAGCCTTAGGAAGGTCAAGCAGGGCCTGAAGAACCTGCCCTCAGCTGACTTGAGGCAATTAAAGTTCCCAGAAGGTAATGAGAAGTCAAACAGAACTGCCATTAGTTTTAAGTACTTCTTCACTCATGGACAGTTTTTTTCTTTTATTTTCAAACTTTAAGGTTTATCTTCTCATAAAATTCTGAAGACACACTCACACAGAAAGGATGGCTTAACTTTTTAAAAAGCTCCACAGGAACCTTAGAAATATCAGTAAATGGCTCCAGCACAAATTCTCCATCATGGAGCTGATTATGTGATTATGCCAGGTGCTGTGAAAGGTTATATGTCTCCACCAGAGAGACAGAGAGATAGAAAGCGAGAGATCACCCCTCAAAGGGGTTGGCCAAGCCACAATCCCTTCTCCTCTATTCTCTTCTTGGGATCTTGGGCACACAGCACACACACCTGGCGTTGAGTTTTGAGTCATCGGGTCCAGGACTCGAACCACGGTTGACTACGTGGGTGTCCAGTGATGTAACCATCACGCCATCTGCTGATCCCTCTCTTAATATCTTTTAAAAACAAAAAGAACCACTCCAGACAGTAGATTTTATATGATTTTCTTTCAAAAAGAAACCAAGAGCCTAAGAGGTTAAGTCAGTAACTTAAGGTCACAGAGCTTTCTGTTGAGGTTGGCTCCACATCAAAACTAATATTGGATCCCTCCATACCCATTTCTCCTTCCTGCCTCTGACCTGCCATCACCCTACCAGAGCTCTCCTCTCCAGCCCATTTCTGGGGAGAATTAATAGAAAAATTTTCTGGAATAAGTGTGAACTGTTAGGAAAGCTCACTTACATGGAAGGTCGGTGGTAACAGGCATTATTTTACCCTGCCTCCCACGTAAGTACTGAGTTATAAACATATTACTCCTCTTCCCTGACTTCCTTCCTCAACATGTGCTTTGAGCCTTTCAGTCAAAAAAAAAAAAAGCAAATTTGTGTTTGCTAATATATACTCATTTTTCCTTATTTCACACATTTTGTCAAGCTACTCACCACTGCTCCTTGTTTTACACAATATCCAGCTTTGATAATTGCACTATCTGGAGGTGGCTTAGGAGCAAAGTAAGGAAGATGGCTTTGTGACCGCTTCAAATTATTTCTCTCAATACTTTCACCACATTCACTTACTTCTTCTTTCTAAAACAAAGCACAATAAGTAAATTCCCTCCTTGCTTGTCTAGCTCCAAATTATTTTATTTCATATTGTTATCCTAGCAAAACATGTTATCTATCGTACTTCAGCAAGGAAAGCAAATTTTTAAAAATAACTTAATTTTATTTATTATAATTTTTAAAGTTGCTATAGGGTACATGCACTCACCAGAGAGAGCAAGAAGAGGAAAGTAAGAAAGGAAGCCTCCAAATATAGCACTCGAAATCATGGTTGGCCGTGGGGAGGGCCAGCACCCAACTACGACCCCACCTGCTAGAGTTTTCTAATTAATCTAAGATACTTTGTCATGACTGTTCTGTCATGGATAAATGCACAAATTGCCACTTCTCTTATCCTGCAAAAGTCCTGCTATCAGTGCCTTTGGGAGGAGAGGAGTTATAAATTCCCTCCTTGCTTGTCTAGCTCCAAATTATTTTATTTCATATTGTTATCCTAGCAAAACATGTTATCTATCGTACTTCAGCAAGGAAAGCAAATTTTTAAAAATAACTTAATTTTATTTATTATAATTTTTAAAGTTGCTATAGGGTACATGCACTCACCAGAGAGAGCAAGAAGAGGAAAGTAAGAAAGGAAGCCTCCAAATATAGCACTCGAAATCATGGTTGGCCGTGGGGAGGGCCAGCACCCAACTACGACCCCACCTGCTAGCCCCAGAAAAACAATTTTTAATTAGAGTTTTCTAATTAATCTAAGATACTTTGCCATGACTGTTCTGTCATGGATAAATGCACAAATTGCCACTTCTCTTATCCTGCAAAAGTCCTGCTATCAGTGCCTTTGGGAGGAGAGGAGTTAAATTTTCTTTCAAAATAATTACATAGATTCACATAAAGGTGCTAAAAATAAAAATGTAGAGGAGATCCCATCGATCTTTTAACCAGTTTTCCCAATGAGGGAAACTGTCTTATTAGAGTACATTATTAAAACCAAGAACTGACATTGGTACTTTCCAGAAACTTTATTCAGCTTCACCAGTTTTAACATGCACTCGTTTGTCTGGTGTGTACATGCAGGTCTATGCAATTTTAACCTATGTGTAGATTTGTGTAACCACCACCAAGTTCAAGACACAGAATTGTTCACCAACACAAGGACCCCTTTGGCTTCTCCTTTAGAGCACCTATCCCTGGCCACAACTAAACTGTTTTCCATCTCGCTATTTTGACATTTTGAGAATATAAATGGAAGCATACAGATGATCTTTTGAAATTTTTATTCATTCTCTGGCGATGCATCCAGGTTGTTTCTTATATCAATACTTCATTGCCTTTTTTTGCTGCATTCCATGGTATGGATGTACTTCTAAGTTGTTAAACTACCTATTAAAGGGCATCTAAGTTATTTTTGGATTTTGAATGTTAGAAATAAAGCTGTTATGAACATTCATGTACAGGTTTTCATGGGAACATAATTCTCCATTTTTCTGGGATAAGTGCTTACAAGTGCAAATGCTGGGTCATACAGTAATTGCAAATTTTATTTTTATTCAAAAAACCTGCCAAACTGTTTTGCAGAGGGGTTGTACTATTTTTTTTTTTAAGAGATTTTTTTGCTCTAGGGTGTGTATGCTCACCAGAGAGACAGAACAGAGAGACAGAAAGCAAGAAATCACCCCCCTCCCAAGGAGATGGCCATGCCGCAATCCCTTCTCCTCCATTCTCTCAGGATCTTGAGCACATATGCCCAGCATGAGTTTTAAGTCACCAGGTCTGAGACTCGAACCATGGTCAACTATGTGGGAGTCCAGTGAAGTAACCATTATGCTATCTGCTGGTCCCTGGAGTGGCTGTACTACTTTTATATTCCCACTTGCATTGTATGAGAGTCAGCTTCCCCTCATCCTTCTCAGCATTTGTATTGTCACTAATTTTTATTTTAGCCATTCTGATAGATAGAATGACATCCTGTCATGGTTATAATTTGTATTTCCTTACTGGCTAATGATAATGAACATCTTTTCATGTATTTATCTGCCATCTACATATCTTTTATCTTTCAGTGAAGAGTCTGTTCGTGAATTCTGCCCACATTTTAACTGATTTCTTATGTGCTTACTGTTGGGTTTGAGGGTTCTCATATGTTCTAGATACAAGTCATGCATTGGATATGTGGCTTACAAATTTTTTCTCTGAGTCAGTAGCTTTTCTTTCTAGATCCTTAATTTTAATGAGGTCCAACTTAACCAATTTTTCCTTTTCATAGTGCTAGGTATAAAAACTCTTAAAGATCCTAAAGAATTCCTCCTGCATTCTTTTCTAAATGTGGTACAGTTTTATGTTCATGTAAATCTTAAGTATTATTTATTATTCATTATTATTAATTTGCTATAGGGCATATGCACTCAACAGAGAGAGAGAGAGCAAACCACCGGGCCTAGGATTCAAACCATGGTCAGCCATGTGGTAGTCCAGCACCTTAACCACCATGTTTCCTCAACGCATTGGTTTTCCCGTTTATCTGTAATGTTTGATAATCCCACAAATAAGTCCAAAGTTTATTTTAAAAACTCTAAAATTTTAAAAGAAAAACTAAGTCCTAAGAATTACATGCATCTTGAGGCATTTTCAACTTTATCCACCTTTAGACGAGTCAACAACACTAATTATGTACTTTTGTAATCCCAATACTTAATGAACTGCTGAGTCAATACATACTAAGGAAACTAATCATTCAAGTGACATTATTTACTAGATAGTATACTGTTTAAATGCTTTTATAATGAGTAAATGCTATTTTGTTTTGTTTTGTTTTGTTTTTGCTATACGGTTCATGTACTTGCCAGATAGAAAGAGGACAGAGGAAAAGAGAGAAGAAAAGTGAGAAATCACCCCTCAGGGAGGATGGCTACACCATAATCACTCCTCCATTCTCTCAGGATTTTGGGCAAACATGTCATGGCCAGCATGATTTTTTATTGTTTTTAAAGAGTTCTTTTTGGGGGAGGGGGAAGAGATTTTTGGTATAGGGCACATGCACTCACTGTAGAGACAGAGACAGAAAGCAAGAAATCATCTCCCAGGGAGGATAGTGATGCTGCAATCCCCTCTCTTCCACTTTCCCCTCACCTCTTTTCCATTCTCCTCTCAGGATTTTAGGCACGCACACACGTGCCTGAAATGAGTTGCCTATTTTTTTTTTTAAGAGATTTTTTTTTTCTATAGGGTGCCAGCACTCGCCAGAGAGACAGAAAGTGAGAAATTCACCCCTACCCGCGAGGGGTTAGAGGGAGATGGCCATACCACAAGCCCTTCTCCTCTTGGGATCTTGGGCACTCGCACACGCACACCTGTCATGAATTTTAGGCCACTGAGTCTGGGATTCAAACCATGGAAACCACGTGGGAGTCCAGTAAAGTAACCATTATGCCATCTGCTGGTCCCTGTCCACTATGAGTTTTAAGCCACCAGGTCTGGAACCTGAACTGCGGTTGACTAGGAGGGAATCCAGAGACATCACCATTACGCCATCTGCTGGTCCCGCCCAGCATAATTTTTAAGACACCAGGTCTGAGAGTCAGCTGCGGAGTCAGCCATGTGGGACCCAGTGCCTCAACTACTATATTACCTGCTGGCCAGGAATTTTTTTTTTTTTTTTGAGAGGTTTTTGCTATAGAGTGCGTGTGCTTGCCAGAAAGACAGAGAGAGACAGAGAGACAGAAAGTGAGAAATCACCCCCCAGAAAGTGAGAAATCACACCCCGAGGGAATGGCCACACCGCAATCCCTTCTCCTCTTGGGATCTTGGGCACGCACACACATGCGCGCAGTGGTGCCCAGCATGAGTTTAAGCCACCGGGCCCGGGACTTGAACCGCAATGGCTACATGGAGTTCAGCGACATAGCCATTACGCTAACTGCTGGTCCCAAGGGATTTTTCTTTTTTTAAATGGCACCTCCCATAGAATCCTAGAGCCTACTGAAAAAAATATATGTAACAAAATTAAAATGCAACAAAATATTAATTCTATACAAAATCAAAAAAGCCACAGATATAAACTATTGGGTTGCTGGGAAAGTCATGACGAATTTTCTGTACAACCTAATATTACATTACGCATTTTTCCCAATGACCTAATAGTACAATATCTTAATAAAGCTATAAACAAATAGTCTTGCCCCTTATGTCAATGCAAGCCATAACATAGGTGAGAGAAGCTTATCGAGCTACATATTAACCAGAAGTTAGCAGGTTAAAATTATTACTTTTGAAAAAAGTAAGTATGCACACGTGAACATGACACACACACTCCTAGCTCATTTTTTATTGAATTTTGATGAACAATGTAAGGTCCCACTATAAGAGACTTTTGTTCCTAACATACCCTTTGCCAAGGATAAAGAAAGTTCTCAATGGTTGGGACTAGCAGGTAACATGGTGGGTAGGGTGCAAGACTCTCATGTGACCAACCACAATTTGAGTCCTAGACCTGGCAGCTAGTTTTCTCACTTCTCTCTCTCTCTCTCTCTTTAGTGAGTGCACAAGTCTTCTAGTGAGTTAAAAAATAATAAATAAATCAAATTAATTCTTAAAAATAAAAGTATTCAGGACCAGCAGTTAGCATAATGGCTATGTCACTGGACTCCCATGTAATCGACCACAGTTCAAGTTCCAGACCCAGTGGCTTAAAACTTGTGCCAGGCACATGTGCCCAAGATCCTGAGAGGAGAATGGAAAAGGGATTGCGGCGTGGCCAACCCCCGGGGGGTGATTTCTCGCTTTCTGTCTCTCTGTCTCTGTCTTTCTGGCGAGCACGTGAGCCCTATAGCAAAAACCTCTCCAAATAAATAAATAAAGTATTCAATGGTTGGTCAATGCTGTAAGATTTCTCTTCCCATTAATCACTCTCTCCTGACAAAAGACCTAAAAAACACAGTATATAACATAATTTGAATTAAAAGGTTTAAAGCACATATGTAACCAAACTGTTCAACATTGAATATACTAATGAATTACTTTAAAATTTTTGGTTTCTCAGGCTGATAAGTGGCATAGTGGTTAAAGGCGCTGGATTCCCACATGGCTGACTGGTTCAAGTTCCGGACCTGGTGGCTTACTTTCTCACTTTCCCTGTCTCTCTCTGGTCAAATTTTAAAATAATAATAAGAAGAACAAATGGAATTAATTAAATAATTCTTTAAAAAAATTTTTGGTTTTTCAACATACAGTAATTTAATCTCATGCTATAAAGTCATTCCCTCAATAGCAACACAAGAAATTCAAGCTCATAAAGTTCTGATTTCATCAAAAATTGTTCATAAATTTTTATTTTTTTTTAATACTCAGATGACAATTTAGCATATCAGTACTTTTGGGATTAAGTAAAAATTTTAACCTTCTGTTTAGTTTATCCAGGCCCGGTTGTGTGTGTGTGTGTGTGTGTGTGTGTGTAAGTGCGCATGTGCTGGGGGGGGAGAGGTTAAAAAAAGTACACACGTATTTATAAACTCTTTGACTCAGCAATTTTCATGTGCTGGGGGGGGAGAGGTTAAAAAAAGTACACACGTATTTACAAACTCTTTGACTCAGCAATTTTATTTCTAGTAATTTCTTTCTTAAAAATTTTTTCTAAATGGGGCCAGCAAGTGGTGTGGTGGTTAAGGTGCTGGACTGCCCTACGACTACTATGGTTCGAGTTCCAGATGTGGTGGCTTGTTTCCCACTTTCTCTCTCTCTCTCTCTCTGTGTCTCTCTGTAGTGAGCACACATGTCCTATAACAAACCTTTAAAAAATATATAAAATAATAAATTTTTTTTTTTTTTTTTTTTTTTTTACTTTTTTTTTTTTTGGAGAGGTTTTCGCTATAGGGCGCGTGCGCTCGCCAGACAGACAGAGAGAGACATAGAGACAGAAAGCGAGAAATCACCCCCCAGGGGGGATGGTCACGCCGCAATCCCTTCTCCTCCATTCTCCTCCCGGGATCTTGGGCACGCACGCACACGCACCCGGCGTGAGATTTAAGCCACCGGGTCCGAGACGCGAACCACGGTTGACTACGTGGGAGTCCAGCGACATAGCCATTACGCTAACTGCTGGTTCCCTAAAATAATAAATTTTTTAAAAATTTAAATGTCTCTTGAGTTTAAGCTACAAGAATGTTCACTATAGCACTGTTTATAAGAGAAAAAGGAAAGGGGAAAATAAAATTCTATTTGTCTAACAACAAAAGACTTATAAATTATAGTAAATCTATGGCAGAACTATTATGTGGTTCTGAGTGAGTGAAAATTCTATGCTGAGTGAAGTGAGTCAGGCTATGAAAGAGAGACATTGTATGTCTCCACTTAACATATACCAACTGTCTGCACTAATGGTAGAGATTGAAAGATCAGAGGACATAAAAACATTGAAAATAGTTATGGACACTGGAGACAGTGTGGAAGGAGAGTGGGAGAGGGGAAGAGTGTAGAGAAGGAAATTAGGGAGAAAAAATAGAGAGGTAAGACATTTGTGGGACACAGAATGGTTTATTACCTGTTGATGATGACATGTATAGTACTCTCAACTGAACTGGTCTGAGGTATATTGGGTAAATTCTTTATACAAGCTAAATCATGTATAGTGATTGAATGCATAAATAATAATAATAATAATAATTATAATAATAAATTATGTAAAATTACTTCTGATGGCTTTGAAAAAAGTTCATAATATAAGTGAAAAAACTGTTTAAAAAGTCTAACATGTAATATTATTTCTATTTCTGGGGGGAAAATACACAGAAGGAAGGCACAGAAAAAACATTAAAAGTATTAAGTGTTGGGGCCTGCAGGTGGTGTAGTGGTTAAAGTGCTGGACTTCCAAATGGCTGACCACAGTTTGAGTCCCAGACCTGGTGGCTTGCTTTCTCACTTTCCCTCACTCACTCTATGACGCTCTCTGGTCAAATTTAAAAATAGTAATAATAAATAAAATTAAGTAAATAATTCTAAAAAAAGTATTAAAATGTTGCTTATTGGTTTATTTCCAAACAATGCATATTTTTTTAAATAAGAAACAAAATTAAAAGGTTTTTGTAGTAACTGAATATAGTATTAATTCAGTGAAGATAAACTGTTCTAGTTTTAATAACAATAAAAAAATCAATACACAATAATCATATTTCATACAATAGAAGGATTTTTTTACCTGAGTTGGAGTAATAATGGGTACACCACCAACAATATCTGTTCTATAAGACACTTGCTTCTTTCCGCATTCACCTTGGCGGCTTAGGTTATCAGAATTAGGCTGTGAGTCTGATTGCTTTGGTACCTGAAATATTAAATAAAATGAATCATTTTGCAACCAGCATAAATAACCATTTGTTTTTATATAACTTACACACACACACATTTGCAGAGTATGTGTTCTGTGTACTCTTAAGTTCTTACACTGTTGTCTGTCAATGAGACACTTTGTTATACAGCCAGCACTTAGTGATTACTGGAGCAGGTACTAGTTTCATGCATTTTTTTTCATTTATTTCTACTATCAAACCTATGCATACAGGCAGGACCCTATTTGAGAGGTAATAAGGAAACACAGGCTCAGAGGCATTCGGGAACACAGATTTAGATCCTGGCTGTATTACATCCTAGCCAAGCTTCTGTAACTCTTCTAAAATCTTACCACTAGATTCTAGTTCGTTTACTAGGGTATTGAACATTAAGTTACAGTTCTTTGCTATTATCTTCCCTTCCCACTACTCCCACCCATGATTCTGCAAGGTCCTAAAAACGGGAATTATGGCATATTTATTTTCCCTTCAAGAACAATCTACTATCAAAAATATGGGGCCAACAGGTGATGTGCTGGTGAAGGTGTTGGACACTCTCACATGGCAGACTGTGGCTCAAGTCCCAGGCCTGGTGGCTTGTGTTCTCACTTTCCCTTTCTCCCTGTGTGTCTCTCCCCTCTGATCGAATTGAAATAAATGAATGCATAAATAAAATTAAAAATAAATAATTTTAAAAATAAAATAAAAAATATAGTAACTATTCAATAACTATTACAAGACTGACTCAATGGATGATCAATACAAAATCAACAGAAAAAAATGAAATTCTTGACATATATAAAAAATTAAAATGTTCAAAATGAAATATAACTTATTAGGAATTTTAAGAAGGAATTCCAATACCTGTATCAATGGCAACTTACAAGCATAAACAAACAATGATCGAGCAAAATCTCATATACTAACATTTCACTAAGGTAGAATCAAAGAATCAGATAATAACAAACTGCATATATTTTAACTTTTCTTACATGATCTAATCAGGATGATATCTGGCTAATTACTTTTCTCTACAGACTGTTAACTATGTAGTTAGTCTCTGTATTTCAACTTAATTTTACATTTTTTTGTTAGAGAGATTTTTGCTATAGGGCACATGCACTCACCAGAGAGACAGGAGAGAGAAGGCAAGAAATCACTTCCCCCTGGGAAAATGACCAGGCCGTAATCCCTTCTCCTACATTCTCTCAGTACCTGGTATGAGTTTCAAGCACATGCACCTGGTGTGAGTTTCAAGTCTGGGTCCAGATTCGAACCATGGTTGGTGATATGGGAGTCCAGTGCCTTAACCACTATACTACCTGCTAGCCCCGTGAATTGTAAATTTTAAAATGTAATTAACATATGGTCAGCAATGTTATTATTTTTAAACTGATTTAGTCTCTTCAATAACTGAATGGGCATTTGGGGAATCTTGCAGTCTTTCAGAAACATTATGACATATTACTGACAATCACAGAGGTAGTGATATGAAAACATTTCATTTAAAATTAATTTGCCTGTCACAAAGCTAATCTTTGTTCACAGAGTATTAGCAAAATTTATAGAGGACATCACTCATATTGTATTCAAAGACGCAAATCATTTATTAGTGTGATTCCAAAGTCCCAGGGACATTATTAAAAACATCAGATTCCAGGCTCAGCAAATGGCATAATGGCTATGTTGCTGGGCTTCCATAATCACCTGCAGTTCAAGTCCCAGACCCAGCAGCTTAAAACTCATGTTGGGCACATGTGCGTGTGTGCCCAAAATCCCAAGAGGAGAATGGAGGAGAAGGAACTACAGCATGGCCACCCCTCCCGGGGGGGAAGGGGTAATTTCTTGCTTTGTCTCTCTAGCATGCACCCTATAGCAAAAATCTCTCTTTTTTTAAAAGAATTATTTATTTGGGGCTGGTAGGTGGTGTGGTGGTTAAGGGCACAGGACTCCCACATGGCCCACCTCAGTTCAAGTCCCAGACCTGACAGCATGAATTCTCACATACCACTCCCCAACCTCTGTCCCTCTCTGGTCAGGTTTAAATAAATAAATAAATAAATAAAAATAATAAGTGGGGGGGAAGGATTATATTTATTTAATTTTATTATTATTATTATTTTAATTTGACCAGAGACAGAGAAAGGAGGAAAACAAGAAAGCAAGCCACCAGGTCTGGGACTCGAACCATGGTTAGCCATGTGGGAGTCCAACACCTTAACCACCATGTCATCTGCCAGTCCCGTAAAAATATCTCTTAAAAAAAAAAAAGTCAGATTCCTAAGCTTCATGGCCAGAAATTTTGATTCAATCAACCTTTAGAGCAGCCCAGAAGAACTACTCTTTACGCAGACACACCAGATAATTTTAAGGTATGTATTTCATAAATCACACTTAAGAGAAACACTGATCTATCTAAAGCCTGTATTTTTAATATCATTCTACTCCCAGGTATGTAGAAGAACAGGAATATAATGCAGTCAAGGAATTACAAAGGCTTTTCAAAAGCAAACATGGTCTATGTGTTATGTGATGATGCTAAGCTACAGTAGATCAAAATCCACACAAATTTAACTTATGGACATAAATAACTCGTCTCTTGAGTGACTTCTAAACTCCCCTCTCCTCTCCTCCCCATCTGTCTGTCTCCCTTGAAGTATTTCCCTCTCAGGCCTCAGGTCCAACCCTCCATCCTCCTTTCCACTGACAAAAACAAAGAAAGAAACAAGAAAGGAAGAAAGGTGAATCCTGAATACCTCTTGAATTCTTTTAAGAGGCTGAACCTTTTCGGAGTGCTTTTTAGAAGGCTATATAATAATGGACAAAATTTTACTTGTCAAATAAAATTAGAAAGATACCCTACATACCCTGGAACAATGCACCAGAACTATAATAAAAAGCATCATGTTTTTGCCTACTTTGAAAGAGAAAATGTGGCCTCGTTACCCCATTGAGAACAGAAAATAGCACTAAGATAATAGTAGGAAAGCCTAATAGTAAGAAAATATAAAAATGGCCAGAGAATGAAGAGATAAATATTTAAGCATTTATGAATAAAATAAATGAGAATGTTGCAGGTTTCTCAAAAGTTAAAAGGGGGCCAGCAGGTGGTATGGTGGTTAAGGCACTGGATCCCACATAGTTTGAATACCAAACCCAGTAGCCTGAAAAAAGTCACATGCTAGGAAGATGTGCGTCAGTGCCCAAAATCCTGAGAAGAGACTAGAGAGAGGACAAAGAATTGTGATGTGGCTATATCCCCTGGAGAGTGATTTCTCACTTCCTCCTCTCCCTGGGTCTCTCTCTAGCAATCACACATGGCCTATAGCAAAACTAGGAAAAAGAAAAAAAGAGAAAAAAAAGTTAGAGGGAAAGCTCATATTCAATTCACTGAGAATAATAACAGACTGAAGACTGAATCCCAAAATGTTCAGACAAAACTTCTATATCTTAAAAATCTTTCTGAGGACTTAATACTTGAGTCAGCTGAAAAAAACTAGTTTTTACGTCAAAGGTCTAACACTATGGGGCTCATAGACCATTTTGTTAAGAATTAACGTCCTGTATTTAGCTTACTCTTCCACTTGCTCCTAGTTGCCATAAAAAATTAATAAAATAAAACTTGTGGAGTTCTTGCCATAACTTCAAAAAGCTTTTAGATGGAAATCTAATATTGGAGCCAGCAGATGGTGTAGTGGTTAAAGTATTGGAATCCCACATGGGTGAATGCAGTGTGAGTCCCAGTCCTGGTGGCTTGAAAATCACACCTGGTGCATGTGTGTACATGCCCAAAATCCCAGAAAGAGAATGAAGAGAATGGACTGCTGCGTAGCCATACCCCTTGAGAGAGATTTCTCATTTCCCCTCTTTCTGTCTCTCTCTAGTAAGTGCACATGCTCTATGATGAACACCTAAAAAATTTTAAATCTTGGGACTAGCAGTTAGCGTAATGGCTTAAATTCACGCTGGGTGCGTGTGCATGAGTGTCCAGGAAGGATCCCAAGAGGAGAATGGAAGAGAATTTAAGTCATCAGGTCCAGGACTTGAACTGTAGTCGACTACATGGGAGTCCAGCGACATAGCTGTTACACTAACTGCTGGTCCCGAAACCACATACTTCTAAACCCTAACTTTAAATTTCCAGAGATTTAAAGTTTATATATCACATAATATTTGGCTGACCACTAAATCATATAACTGATCCATATGTCATCTGGAATGATTCCATAGTAAAGTAAAATAAACATATATTAAAATGTAAACTTAGGGCCAGCAGATGGCATAGTGGTTATGTTGCTGGACTCCCACATGGCTGACCACAGTTTGAGTCTTGGACCAGGTGGCTTCAAAATCATGCTGGGCACGTGGGCATGTGTGCCCAAGATCCCAGGAGGGACTCCAGCATGGTCATCCTCCCTGGAGGGTGATTTCTAACTTTCCTTCTCACTGTCTCTCTCTCTCTCTCCCCACCAAGTGCACATGCTCTATGGCAAAGATTTGATTAAAAAAAAAAAAAGTAAACTTTAATTTTTGAAAATAATTATTTAATTATACTTATTTAATATTTTTTCATTTGACCAGAGAGAGAGAGAGAAAGGGTGAGAGGCAAGCCACCAGTTCCAGGACTTAAACCACAGTCAGTCGTGTGGGAGTCCAGCACCTTAATTATTACATCACCTACTGGCCCCTAAGCTTTAATGTTTGAAAGAATCTACAAGTAAATTATCAGCAATTTTCATGGGAGGGTATGACAAATTAAAAATTCCACATTCTAATACCCTTAAATATGTAATACGCATATGAAATTAAAACTGCTGGGACTCTTTTTAATAATAAAGCTAACAAAACACACTAAAGCACAGGAAATTCTTTCACTGCTATCCTTTGGATTAAATGTGTATCTATCGGGACCAGCTCAGGGCGTAATGGCTACATTGCTGGACTCCCACATAGTCGACTGTGGCTCAAGTCTTGGACCCAGCAGCTTAAAACTCAAGCCAGGTGCATGTGTGTGTGTGTGCCCAAGATCTCAGGAGAAGAATGGAGGAGTAGGGACTGCAGTGTGGCCAACCTCCCCTGGTGGGGGAAAAGGGTGTGACTGCTCACTTTCTGCCTCTCTGTCTCTCTGGCGAACACACACACCCTATAGCAAAAATCTCTCTTAAAAAAAAGAAAAAGTGGCGTGGTGGTTAAGGGCGCTGGACTCCCACATGGCCAACTGCGGTTGCTTGCTTTCTCACTTTCCATATATCTCTCGCGCTCTCTCACTGTGTCCCTCTCTGATCAAAGTTGAATAAATAAATAAATAAACATTTTAAAAATATATTAAAAAAAAATAAAAAGTGTATCTATCTAATGTTGTGTTTAACTAAGTAATATCAATTCTTTATTCACTTTAATGTAGTTATAATCATTTAATTGATGAGTTATGGATTTCTATCTTGCATGTATTTATATTTTCTAAAAGTATGGAAGCATGAAAAATCATTTATCAACATTTATCCTTTTAAGTATAAAAATTTCAACACATAAAACTTCGAGACTACGAAGCTATTTGTAAGTCTACACACTTTACCCAATCCCTAATCCGTTTCTCCTTCATACTAAAAAGTTTAACAATGCCATTTGAATAAGACTGTTTCATACCATTAATAAATTACACAGAGCAATTCAAAAAGCCTCACAATGGTCAAAGCCCAAGGACCACCCACTACTTTTCCTCCTTAAGCACTAAGAAACCAGTGCTGCCTACTATTGTAAATTGTAAGAAGTGAATTAATTCAGTAAACTTACTAGATAATCTTTCTAAAGGAACTTTCCAAGTATGAAATATTAAAAGTAAAAAACAATCAGTTAAAACCTTTTAAAAATATGTACTCCTGATCAGTTCAAGAACTTGCTTTCCTGAAACTGCAGAAACCTAAAATAACTTCTGCTTCATGTACAGATCAGATGTGGTGCGTGGGTGTTTTCTGTCATGTGGTAACAAGCTGTTCTGGTAGAAGACAAGAAATTCAACTTAACTCTGAGAACAGCTTTAGCTATATTAACTCTTTACTGTGCTATGATACAAACATGGAGTCATTTATTTTAGATGTAAATAAATGACTAACATACGTGATTTTGGGGGTGCATATTCTTTGACAGTAAGTCGTTCAGGATCAGTAAAAGAAGGCAGTTTGGTAAAAACACACTTCAGTTGACAAAAACCTCACACAGGAACTTTGTCCCTAGTGTGCAAGGGGAAACTGGTGAGGCAAGGTACACTTAGGAAACAGAACCCATCTACTTGCTCACCATCATCAGTAGAAAACTCGCAGAAGTTAGGAAGTTTGTCTTTCGGCTCAAGAACAAAAGAACAAGAAGGCTCTTTGTTCAGGAAGCAGTAAGGTACTACACTTCAAAGTTCAGGCTCCAGAACCCAACGAAGTGGACTGGGCTCCCAGCTCCAAAACTTACTAGCTATGAAATCTGTAAAAGTCATTCAATCATTATAAGCCTCACTTTTCCAGATAATTTAAGTAAAGCCTTCAGTCTAAGGTCTGGCACAGTGTTAAAAAAAAATATATATA